AGGCTATCTTTCCTCCAGTGAGGGTGGTTGGCTCCTTTGTCAAAGATAAGGTGGCTGAGTATGTCTGGAGTTGTTTCTGTATCTTCTAATCTATTCCACTGATCCTCAGGTTTGTTTCTTTGCCAGTACCATGGTGTTTATTTATTTATTTATTTATTTATTTATTGGTTCTGGGGATTGAACTCTGGACCTTGCGCTTTCGAGGCAGGCAGTGGCACCACTGAGCTAAATCCCCTGCCCTCTATGCTGTTTTTATCACAGTAGCTTTGTAGTACAGTTTCAAGTTGGGGATTGTGATACCCTCTGCCATATCTCTGTTGCTAGAATTGCTTTTGCTATCTAGGTCTCTTCTGGTGCCAAATGAATTTTTGGATTGTTTTCTCTAGTTCTGGGAAATATATTATTGGAATTTCTTTTCTTTTCTTTTTTTTTGGTACCAGGGATCGAACTCTGGACCTTGCACTTGCGAGGCAGGCACTGGAACCACTGAGCTAAATCCCGGGCCCAATTGTTGGAATTTCAATCGGCATTGCATTAAATCTATATAACAGTTTTGGAAGTATGGCCATAAAGGTGAGATTTTGTAATCTTTTTTTTTTTTGCATTTCATCATCCATAAGATTGTGCTCACCTGTGAGGGAAGCTGAATTTTCCTTGATATTAATGAAAATTCCCACATTGTGACCACTAAAAAATGAGCTCATGGCAATGATTCAAACTTCCACACAGGTTGTAGAAGCCCAAGAATAGGTTTTTTTGTGTGTGTGTGTGGTATCAGGGATCGAACTCAGGACCTTGTGCTTGTGAGGCAGGCATGGTGCCACTGAGCTAAATCCCTGGCCCAAGAATAGTTTCTTATAAAATGTTTTTAACTACTATATATTATTGGCCAGGTGTGGTGGCATATACCTGTTATCCTAGCACTTGGGAGGCTGATGCAAGAGGATCGCCATGAGTTTGAGGCCAGCCTGGGCTACACAGTGAGTTCAAGGTCAGCCTGAACTACATAATGAGACCCTGACTCAAAAACAAAAAACAAAAACACAACAAAAGCAAAACAAAACAAAAAACCCTACTATATAATGTGAATTTATAAATCTTATTTATTACTGTATGCTGTTAAGGGTAGTCTTGGAGAGCAGGGAAGCTAGAGATAGAAAGGGCATATATTTTTCATATTTATTTATTTTTGAGACAGGGTCTTGCTATGCAGTCCAGGCTGGTCTTGAATTGATGGCAATGCTCCTGCCTTAGCCTCTGGACTGCTGGGATTACAGGTGTGCGCCACCACACCCAGCTGCATTTTTCATATTTTAATAGAGGAACAGGAAGGGAAATAGAAGAGGGGGTAGGTGAAGAAGCAATCCCTGCCTACTTGTATCATTGTCTAATCCAACAGACATTTCCTCATGTTTCCTGCCACAATACTAGTTACCATTCTTTTTTAAAAAAATATATAAAATTTTAATGTTATACCTGAAACACACCAAATCCCTAAGAGCAAGTCAATATCTAACTAAAATGCTCTTACCACTTCATTATTACAAAGTTAAATCTTGAATCAAAATCTAACTCTAAAAATAGTACCTTGAAAATCACGTATCTACATATAATACAAGTAAATTCTCCTACGTTGCATCGTTTTTATCATCTACTGCAGCACAGATGGTTTGATTCCTCCTCTTAATCTTCTTTCTTTGTTGAGGTTCACTAGCCTCCATTCTTACTGAGCTTATCTATTGTTACCTTATTTAACCCACCAACAATCCAACCTGAACAGGCACGATTATGACTACTAAATCGGTAGAATAAGAACTTGAATCCCAAATGTGTGTGATCCCAGAACCTTGGTTTTCATTTATTTATTTATTTTGGGTACCGGGGATCAAACTCGGGTCCTTGCGCTTGCGCAACAGGCGGTGAAACCACTGAGCGAAATCCCTGGCCCGAACTTAGGTTTAAAGCTACTATATTTTACTAATTCTTATTTGATAGTGGGACAGAGAGGGTAAAATGTTTTTCCCTTTTCAAAACCTCTTGGCACCCCACACTACTGGTCATTTCTCTCAATTTATTCTGCTGAAATTGTTATGGGAAACATACTTCATAAGGAATCAGAAACCTAGGTTCTAGTTTTGCTGCACTGTGGACAAGACATGTAAACTCTCTGACTCACACTTCTCTTATTCCTAAACTACACAGAGCTACTCGAAGGGAGGAGCGCATTTCTTCCTCATCTCCCTCCTCAAACCCCAGCTAGCAGTGTGAGGCAACAAGTGATGTTCAGAAAACATTTACAGACAGAAAGGGCAGCCAGAGTCTCCAGGATTCTTTCTTTGATCTTGAAATGGAACTTAGACCACATATGTACACCATACAGAGTATACAGTAACATTTTGCCTTGGATTTTAAAGACAGAGGTTTGTCAAATTCTGACTTGTATTTTGAGAGGGTTGGTTCTGATAGAGTGGGTGCTGTTCTTCTGATCCTATAACTGACTGCACTGAGGGTTTTGCTTTATTTTCGGGAGACTTAATGGTGCTGTTGCATAACATAAACAGCACCAATAAACTGTAATAATCTTCGCGAAGGGGGCTGGGAACTTGCTGCAGCAAACAAATCTCTCCAGAGCAGGAGAGCAGACCTCTGATTGGGAGGGCTGGGGTTGTGACCTTGCCATGGTCTCTGCCCTTCTCCGGACTCTAACTTCCTCACCTGCAAAATGGTGGTGGTATCACAGACGAAGATTCCCGAGCAGACGCCCCAACACCAGGATCTTACTCCTCCCCCTGTGGGTGGGGCGGAACGGGAAGAGGGTCCGAGCAAGAGCCGCCTCCTACTCCGCCCCACTGCTTGGCCCGCCCTTTCCTCCTTCCCGCTTCCCGCCTCTCGCTCTACCGCGATGAGGTCACTCAGGGGACGTCACGGGGTTATGACGCCACTGAGGGGCGGGCCTTCGGGAGAGGAAGGGGCGGGGACTCGGGTGACAACGCGTGCGCAGAGGGCGCGGCGCGGGAGGAGGCGGAGGCGGCGGAGGAGCTAGGGGCGGTGGAGGAGGTGGC